CCGGCAATACCAAACATATACCGCAATACTGCCCAGGCCTAGCCTGCAATACCAAACATATACCGCAATACTGCCCAGGCCTAGCCGGCAATACCAAACATATACCGCAATACTGCCCAGGCCTAGCCTGCAATACCAAACATATACCGCAATACTGCCCAGGCCTAGCCGGCAATACCAAACATATAATGCAATACTGCCCAGGCCTAGCCGGCAATACCAAACATATACCGCTATACTGCCCAGGCCAATCCGGCAATACCAAACATATACCGCTATAATGCCCAGGCCTAGCCGGCAATACCAAACATATACCGCTATAATGCCCAGGCCTATCCGGCAATACCAGGTGACCCCCATTACTCTGAAATCCTGAATGATACTATAGTCATAATGAAAGGCATCCTGTCTTCTGAACCAGCAGCACAGCTGAGCTTCTACATCTTCCTCCAAACAAGCTCACCTGTCTTCCACTGCAGTGGCCCCCAGCAGGATGAAGTTCTTCTCGATGACATCATAAGCCTCGGCCAGTTTCTTTTCCCGCGCGTGCAAGGCCAGCTTTGCGCTGGTCAGAAGGTGGCAGACTTCTTCATACTCTGCCGGGCTCAACATCTTGTAGGCAACGCAGAGAGTCCGCAAGCCTTCCTGCAAGTAAAAAGGGTTGTGGGTTAATCCTTAATTATCCCTTGGGGATTAATGCAATCAATCGACCAACCAATTGACTAACCAACCAACGGAACAATCTATCTATCTATCTATCTATCTATCTATCTGTCACGCCCAGCTCTGTCGGATCCTCATGTGTGCCACGCCCACCTCATTACCTCGTGTTACCTCCTGATTGTTCCCACCTGTGTCTAGTTCATTCCTGCCTGTCCTGTGTATTTACTCCACGTCTCGGTTAGTTTCCCCCAGTTCTGACATTGACGTTGTCCGACGTAGTGCTTGGTCCTGTCCCTGTCCGCCCGTCTGTGAGCAATAAACCTCGTTTGCCTGTCAGTCCGGCTCAGCTTGCCTACTTTCCTGCTCGCCTGCACCGCGAACGTAACACTATCTATCTATGTAATTTACACTAAGAGCTGTCGAAAATTGCTTTACAGAAATTTACAGTAATTGTCCACTGGTCACTAGTATTGTAAAATACTGTTCCATGATTCCTTCAACGAGGGCAACTGAGTATTTCTGGAAAAAATAAACACGTGGGAAAAGTGATACTAGTGATACTAGTTTGGTGAACATTTGCAATAGTTACACTCTGAATATTTTATTTGACATTCAGTTTGATGTTTATTTAGCATAATAGATTAACCATCATGTGACCCCCCCAAACTGCCACCAAAGAATATTAAAACTGTCAGTACTGAGCTTTAAATATGACGCATCATTTTACGTTTATCCTTATACCAAGTTACTGTTGTAATCTGCCCATTTCAGTTCTGAATATTAAGGCCATCCAATGGGGCCACGTGTCCCCGCAGGCTGGCAACTGCATTCCGCCGTAACCATGGGGACAATTGGCCTATGCCAACAACAGAACCAGGTCATTATGAGTGCCAACAGTGAACACACATGCACTCAAAATGCAGTTCCATCCCCACTGAACGACAGAATCACACTTTACTCCAAGCCAGCCATAGACTCTGACTGGAGGGCAGCTTGTGATCAAAGTGTCATTAAACATCCATGAGTTTCACAAAGAGCATTAGGTAGGAAGGTGTTTCTGTACCTTCTCGATAAATCATACTGATTCAAGATACTGCTAAACTTGTCAAAAGACTAGATAGAAGGGTTTAAATTCTCCAGTGCCTGGTTGGCACACGGTAACAGTTTGACGAGCTGGACTGACAGATCGGCATCTCAGATCATTCCCACCGGCAACAATGTAATGACAGATCAGCATCTCGGATCAGGGCCGCCTCACCACAGCGTTGTGCTGCACACGAGCACGGATCTGCTCCACCTTTCCTGAGACCACCCTGGGAAAGATGGCGGAGTCAGCTCCTTTGCAGAACAGATAGTACTGTCCTGAGCAAAAGAGAAGAAAGAAAGCCCAGAAAGGTCAGAGTGGGGGCATTTATCATTCATTAGCGTGTTACGCTTGTTGACCCACTTACACAGATTCAGTGAATGTATGAAACCACTTGCTGGCCTATAAAACATGTAGATACTATTTCAAACTGTTTGTGGAAGCATTCCTGCAGTCTGGGGCTTCCTGTACAGAGCCAGTCGACAGTGTGGACACACCTGCTGAAAATCATTTGTTTTTCAACAAGATGACGCCAAGCTCACCTCCAGGTTATGTACAGTAAGTACTGTATTATCTTGTCAACAAGGAAATAGACGGAGGGCTGTGACAGATGACCTGGTCCCCACAGTCCCCCAACCTAAACCCTACAGAGCTGCTTTGGGATGAGCTGGATTGAAGAGTAAGAGCAAGGTAGCCATCTTGTGCCCAGAACCTGTGAAAAATCCTTCAGGATTGTTGAAGAAACATTCCATCTGGAAACTAATTGAAAGAATGCAATACTGTCATAGAAGCAAAAGGGGGCCATATAGAAGATCTAAAATTTGAGAAAATTCTGAGATGCTGAACACTTCACTTAGTCATTGCAACATTTGACATGTATTACTTCATTTTCTTAAGGCATTTTACTATAAGGTGGAAAACATAGCTAAAATAGAGAGAAATCCATTAAAAACAGGTGTGTCCAGACTTGTGACTGGTTCTGTAGTTATATAAAGGACATGCAGTATTTGAACCTAAAGGCTTCTGTGGAACTCTTTTTAGCTTGGCAAAATGATTGATAATGTTTGAGTGACCTTTAATCAAAGAACCGTTAGAGTAATAAGGTTTTTCTGGGTAATGCAGGTGAATCAACATCAGAGGCAGAGGTCCGTATTTTCGGGTCGTACCTGTGCCAGACCGCACAATAACACTCATTCTCCTCCGAACAGAATCAAAGTTCAGAACTTCAAGCAGCTCGAACCTGAGAAGCAGAGAGGGCGACGTGAGTCAAATGCGAGAGCTCTGGAGGAACCTTGGCTCTTTGCATACGTCGTTCACTGGCTAAACCCTAAAACCGGACTCCCCTGGGAAGACGTGACTCCTGACTCAGCATTTTGCAGATGTTCATCAAAGGGTTACTAAGCTCAGGTGGAAGGAGTCGGGCTTGGCAGGGACATCCTCCAGGTCTCTCGTATCTTCGCAAATGGATGGGATCACTTTATTCTCCTCTGTCCCAGGACAGACAGGACAGCTACTGAATGCAACACCTGCAGCAAATGTGAGCTTGGCAATGTGTCAGGGCTACGTCGGCTCTCGCAGGACGCCCGGCTCATAGCCGCTGTAATTAGCTCAGCAGGAAAGGCCAGGCCTGGAATAAAGGTAGGATATACTTCCTTTGCATCTAGGATAAAAATCAGCAAGATATCTCAGAAGGCTGTATCCTTCCTGAACCATGTTAGCGAGTATTTGCCGCCCGGCAGCCTGTTGGCGCATAAACCACAGCTCTTGCTATGAAGCTTGTTGAACAGTAGACATTGTTTAGTGCAGTGGATGCAGTTATCTGCAGTGGATGCATTACTGCTTGCAATCAGTCCTGCAGGACAAATCTAGACTACTTACTTATGTGCACGCAAAGGCAGAAGTAATCACCACAGAGCAGCTTAGCTATATTTCTAGTGTCCTGACAGCTCTGAGTCCGCAATACCCTTGTGCTCATACCATAATATTCAAGGTATTAAATTTTTTTTTGGTAGTTTGCTATTCCATAAACTATTTATAGATTCTTCGCATTTAAATGCATTCAACGAAAAAAGCTGAATTACCTCTCAATCTCCTCCTTCCTGTTGAGGATTTCCATGTGGCTGTCTTTCAGACGAAGGTAGGTAAAACCCAGCCTAGACAAGCAAGAGCGATAAATCATTTGGGACGTAATGCACCCAGACGAATACAATACAAACAACTGAACAGCAATTCCCCCAAAAGTACAGGAATATCAAAATTCATCTACAGCAGGAATTAATCTGATATGAACAAAGTCTTAACATTTACTTAGAAGATGCTTCTATCAAAAACGATGCACTATTTCTTTTAACTTAAGACACCAACTCGTGCAATTGGGGGGGGGTGGGGGGGGGGCTGTTAAGGGCCTTGTTCAAGAGCCCTGCAGTGAAATTTTGCTGGAGTCTGAACCAATGACCTTCACATCACAAGCACAGCATCCAAACCCGCTCAGCCATAAACCACCCACATTTGCTGTTACACGCAGAAGGTGAGGAACATAACTTATAACTCACCTCTTCATGCCCTCCACCAGGGCCACCTCATCAGGTGAGGAGGAGATGTAGAAGGAGGTACCCTTGCCCTGGTTGATGCCCCTCTTGATACCATCGACTGTCTCTTCTTCCTTGACTTGAACAGTGTGACACAGGCAAAGGGCCCGGAAGAACAGCTCCTCGTTCTCCTGGGATGGTGGATTAACAAGAGACAGAAAGCATTAGAACTGCATCATGAGGCACAGCGCAATCATGTACAATGAAATCAGCGCTCTCAAGTAACAGTGGCTGTTTTGGACAGGGGAGCAGGGACACAAACAGCCCACAATGCAGACCCAGGAGTACGGTAGTTTCCCGGCCAAAACGGGAGACTTGACAGCTATGTTAATAATCCCGGCTATGTATCTGCGCTGGATATCACCGGCACGCCACACGCCTTGTAGGCGGAGCTGCATGTCCGTTATAGCCGAACAAAACTACAGCTAAAAGCGGCCCTGGGGACTAAATTGTTTGTCCATTACAAGCGAAATTCCGTTATATGCGAGTCCGCTATAACCGATGCTTTTTCTGCATGTTCTTAAAGGCGCACGGCCGGGACCAGCGGACCTCATCCGTTATAGACGATATTCCTTTATAAGCGAGTCCACTATATTGGGATTTTACTGTACTGTTAAACAAGACACACAGTGTTAACACAAAATGAACAAGTACTGTACACATAGATCAGACAAATTTAAAAAGGCAAAGCCGCTGCAGGTGTGGGCTCATCTGAGACTACGCAGCCAAAACAGGTCGCAGTCCCCAAAACACACCGGCAGACCCCACACAGACACACATTCATACTCATCATTCAAAGTTCTACAAAAGTTTTTTCTGCAACAGTAACTTCTAAGCATTACATTCAGACAGAAGCGGAGGTGGGTACTTCAGGCCTGGAGAGTAAAAATCCAGACCAAGATTTTGTTTCAACCAACCAGTTGAGTATTAGGGCTGTGTCTGAATTCAGGGTCTGCGTCCTTCTAATGCGGCATTCAAAGACACATCCGCGCCACAGCGCTGCGACAAAGCTGTCTCATTTCGAAGGCTCCTTAAAATGCGGCCTAGAAATGCGTCCTTCTTTTGTCAAGTCATGAAGGATCCACCTGATGGATCTTCTGCAGCCCCACATATCCCAAGATTCATTGCGCACAGGTAAAGTTGGCGTGTCCCAGCTAGGCAACATCTTCTTATGTGTTTTCCCTGAAATGTCAAAACTACGTCCATCATGGGCTGCTTTTCCCCTCACCTTCTTTGCTGGTTCAGGCGAGGAGTCGATCACATCAATGCCTGATGCTCCAGGCAAGATCTGACCATTGCAGACCGAAAGAGGCACGTAGACCAGCCCATCAACGCAGCACTCAATAAACTCCATGTTGTTTTCAGTCAGGGTTCCTGTCTTATCCGTAAATACATACTCCACCTGTAAGGACAGAGGGGACAACTCATACTGAACTCCCTGATGGGAACATTGCCCTCGTCCCTGAGAGCTGCAGGATGGGACTTACTTCCTCTCTGGCCTGCATCCAATCATAAATCTAAGAACCTTGAGCATCTGATTAAGCAACTAAATGATTTGGCTAAAATAAACTGTGGAGCTGTATGCACATTCAGGGCACTAACTATTGTTGAACTTCACTGGAGCCCAATCTGAAGTTTCGCACCTTGTCACACCAAGAATCCATCGTGTCGCCCATTTTCCCTCCCGTGTCTCTACCTGACCCAGCTCTTCATTGAGATCCGACGTGTTGACCAGCGCCCCTTCCCCCAGCTCCTCGTCAAACATCTCCTCGTCCCAGCTGATGAAGTAGGAGCCGAGGAACTTCTGCATCTCCACCGTCACATACATGGACACAGGGATGATGTAGTTGAACAGGACCATGAAGGCCAAGAAGTCGGTGAAGGCCCTGATCAGCTGTGGAAGAGAGTTCCAGAGATGCTGAGGTTGAAGGGGACATATTCAGTAGGGCTACACACACAAAGCACATGCACACACTCAAGGAGCCGACTGAGATCTAACGTCTCACCACATGTCGCTGCCGTTCCGACTGGGTCTTCCCATTGTACCAGGGCTCATCCCGGCCAGGGTCACCCTGCCACAGGTACTTCAGCACAGTATTGATCAGAGCCTTGCTGATCAGGATGCACAGGTAAATAACCAGAAAAGCATTCATGGACCTGCACCAACAATAAGGACAAAGCAGAGAAATTATAACTATTTCCAAACTGCAGTGTAAATAGATGCTGTGAATGGACTTGACTGGACCGAGTGGAATATTGGTGAAGTTGGGACAGGTGATTATGAGGAACCAACTTGAATAAAGGCACATGATTCGCCTTCCAGCAGCAGTAAACAGCAAATGTTATTGAATAGCAGTCACAGGATGTCTGTTACTTTATCATTTCCAATATGTTAAGACTAAAATATCAGATGATCCACTGCTTGAGTTGCTCTGCCTTAAGCACATTACTGAAAATTTAAAAATCTAAATGAGAAAAGACATATTTCATTTTAGGCACTTGAGAGAAAGTAGCAGCCGAAAGAAAATGATAAAGAAAAAAGTAGAATCATCTTTTCTTTGCTTTATTACTATCCCTGTGATAAAAATTTCAACACTGGCTGAAAATATCAGCATGTCATTTTCCCCCAGCAGTGTGTGCCTTTCTCTGACGTCTGCCTCATTTTTAAAACCTTACACCTTGTGGCCGATGGTCTGCTCCCTCATCTGAAGACCGCTAGCGGGCATGTGCTGCGATGAGTGGCAGGAGGGTGGATAATGGTCTTACTTCTCAACAGCGGAGCGTTTCTGGGACTTGGACTGGTAGTTGAGGGCCATCTTCGTCTCCATGCCCGTGTATATTGCAACAGCTGCGAGGAAGAGAGGGGTCTGAGATGCCTTCAAGTCCAGTATAATGATCTGCCTTGTTAACATCCACCCCATGGCAGAGGCTTACCCATGTTAGCAGTGACCATAAAATATTACCAAAGGAGGTTCATCCCAGCCCATCTACAGACTTGAGCATATTTATTGGCTTGCTGAGGACATTCCTCTTCATAAATCATGGCTTGTGTCTTGGTCTCATCTTTCAAGACTTCGGTTGACTTTCAGTTATTCAGATAATCACGTCAGCCAGCTTGTAATATGTCTCACTCTTCCTGAATGGCCTCATTTCAGAGAACAGTAAATTTAGGAAGTGTAGAATTGTGCAGCAGTACATTACCATAAATATATTCTGTGTTTTTGAGTGTCGCTCCTCGCAGAAGCACATTCTCTGACCCCAAAGGCCTGGAATTAGAATAAGATTTAAAATAAGATTTTTTCAGAAAACACCTTCACAAAAGTCCATGTACAGGTTATCAGTTACCTACAGTGAAATACAGCAGATACTGTCTAGCACTGAGTCAGTTCTTACAGCTGGTTCTCACACAATGGCAGGATTTTAATGAAGGTCAAGGACAGAAAATATCAAGTATTAGAAAAAAATCTGACAAAAATTTATTTGAATCATACATGCTGTACAAAAGATTCTTTTGGGTATAAGATACATTTCTTTGACCTGAAGGAGTGCAGTTAACACAAGCTGCTTATCAGTCGTGACCACCTAAAGCTTCCTGGGAATAAAGCTGCACTCCGATATATTTTTAAAGGGACAAAAAATGAATCAGAATCTGAATCTGAAGCATTTTAAATTCTGGTTAGATCAACACAAATCTTGGCACAGGGTTGATATCTGTAAGGGGAGACACTGTAAGGGGCTGTGGATTCCAAAAGCATTTCTATCTGCACAGTGTGTAACCTGCCTAGGGGTCTTGAACAGAGTATGAGAAACGTCTTCAAGCAAAGAATGCTGTGGGTAAGGCTTAAGGGAGTGAGTGAGTCTCTGCTAACGCAAGGTCACGATGCTTCTGTCTGTCTGCGTGTCAGCAAAGCTGACCTAGAGTCACCCTCTGTACTTCAAACTTATGGGATGCAACCATAATCCTAACTGTATGATGAACCGAAGTAAACCTAATCCAACCATATGAATTCTTATGAAACCATTTAAAATTAAGTGATAGGTTTTATTATGGATATTGTTCAGAATACGAACTGTTATAAGAATATGACATATAAACATTTAAAAAAAAAACAAAATTTAAGTACATATGCCCTGAATCCCCAAAAATGTACTTATTATTACAATAAGCTACCAAAATTTTACTACAAAGCCCCAGACACCACACCTATATGCACAGAAATCAGAATCTCTTGAATTGTTTCCCTGAATAGTATACTGTACAACACTACAACTGAAAAGAAATTTCCTACCACAAACACAAGGAAACAAATCATTTTACCTTGCAATGGGTTCATTTCCATCCAGATAAATATTGATGCGTCCCACAAATCTGAAATTAACAACAGGCATGTGTTCAGATGGCAACAGAACTGCGCAACACTGACTACAAAGATTACACTATTCTTTGCCTGTGTGTGTGTGTGTGTGTGTGTGTGTGTGTGTGTGGATTAGGTTTATATCACATAGTGGGGGCCAAATGTTTTCCGGTCCCCACAAAGATCTGTGAATGCAATCAAAAAACTAAAAATGCCTAAAGTCCCATATTTTGTATGGGTACTTATGGGTAAGGTTAGGGCTGGGTAGGGGTTAAGGTTTTTGTGTTGAGATTAGGGTTTTCCCCATAGAAGTGAATGGAGAGACCCCACAAAGATATATTTAAAAACCTGTGTGTATGTGTGTGTGTGTGTGTGTGTGTGTGTGTGTATAATACTGCTAGCTTCAGATGTTCAACTTTCGATTAATGACACACCACGAGTTCACTAGCTCATCCAAATTTAATGACAGATCATATGACTTGAGCAGGATGTGGCGTGTGGATGTGTAACTTCAACACTGTCATTTTTTAAAGAGGCTCAGTGAGGTGGATTATGTCACTCACTTATAAAGGTCTGGCTGTGGTTGTTCACATTCAATGGTGGCCCTTAGCGTGTCCACCTCTTCTTCAGTGTTAAAGGCCTTGGTCTCCTGCACAGCATAATAGGTCTTTGTGGAGAGGAGAAGGTGTGACCAGATGGGGACAACAAGAGAGAAATAACCAGCAGAGCACATCTTGGTACCAGAGGTTTAAAGAGTGAAGAAGAAGAGAATGATGCGAAGAGTCTCTTGCACCAGGAAATCACTCCCTCCCTTTCAAGAGAGGCCCTATCCAGATGTTTTTATTGATGTGATTTATTGCCTCTTGAGGTAATATTTGCAAGATGCATCAGGCTAGGATTTTACTTCTCCCTGATTAAAATTGCTGTAAAGTTAATATGCCGTAAAATTAAGAGGTTTAAATTTTATTGCATTTTTTTTTTACATTTCATTGCATTTATCGAATTCTTACAAGTGGGAAACACATTTAAACACTGGTATCTTGCGATCAAAAAGTCAAACCTGGCACTGGATTGAAGTAATGAATGAACTAATGGCATTTGATACAGCCTTCTTGATCGTATGAGGTGCTGGAATGATAAACTGCTTTGTGTTTTTACAACACCACTATAACCCAACCCAACCCTGCACATCCATTAAACACAAGCCTCATTTGGCCTACTCCTCCTGTGCAATGGAATTACCTTAATTTGTGGTATACTGCTTTGCAATAGAGCATGCATTTTCATTTAGGTTACACTGCCAGTCATCATTTAAAGACAAACTTAAATGATTGTCCTTCTTATTTGCTATTTTTATAGCATCAATTAAATCATCATATAGTCAATTAAACCATCATACAAGCAATTAAGCCATCGTGCAATCAGTTAAGCAATGTCAGCTGACTCGCAGGGTGCACAACTGAACCATTCAGGTAGGGCTGCACGTTATGGAAATAATCTGAAATGTTTGCACTTAATATAAAACAAAAAAAGGGGATGAAATTTACCTGAAATAAACTATAGCCTAACAGAACTTATTATTTACCAATAGTAAGTAAGTAAAATTTATTTACAGAGCACCTTTCACAGACAGAGGTCACAAAGCACGGAACAATATAAATAAACAGTGTCAAATAAGTTGATGGTGTTGCCATGAGTTGTGTAAACAGACATAAATCAGTGGCCACAAATGCTAAGTGATTACAAGGCTTTAGATTACGGGCGTGAAAATTTCTCCGGACCCCGGCTTTTTGGGACCACGCGAGTGTGAACTACACACACAATCTGGTAAGCAGGTTAGTCGTACGTCTGAAATATTAATGAGAGGTACAGTATACTGTGACGGAACAAAGTTAGTCAGCTGTACGGATTCGGTATAAGTACTGAAAAGTCAGCGTCCAGACAAATATCTATGTCTGTCATCTAAAGCCCTGGTGATTATCGTGCATGTGCACAAATTGCGATTACATGTATAGTGTGGTGTTATATCACGCAGCCCTCTACAGAGGTTCCAGGGCCAGTGCAGTTCAGAGACGGTAATCCAAGCTGAGTCTCACCTTGTGACTGGACTCCCCATCCAAGCTGGCAGTGGTGACGAAACACGTGCCGTCCTGCCGACTCGTGGACAGGACGATGAGGTCACAGGGGAAGGTCTCATCTTCCTTCACAAGCACGATGTCACCTACCTGAGGTTGAAACAAAAGGAAAACAGCATCATTATAATTTTAGTGTAATGAAGGGCTGGGAGGTGTCACAGAGTGAAACACACTTTTACCAGTCCCTACGGGTCATGTTATCAGTTACCAGTCCCTTCGATTCATGTTTGGTGGCACTTTCCCTTACATTAAATCACAACATACAACTTTCCAGTGTGATAATTTCCCCAGTGTCCACATTGTCTTGCAGTGGTCAGAAGATTGCGGGTTCACCACATGCGGAATTACTGGTCACAGAGGAGTGCTTTTGGTAGGTAATTACAGTGGGATGGCCTCTTACCACCAGGACAGGGGATTTTATTCCTGTCTCTGCCTTATTTTAGAATAGAATACCTTTCATGAATAATCAATACTTTATTGATCCCCACAGGGAAATTGTCTTTATGCCTCCCTCAACTTGCTCTTTGTAGAGTAAGCTGTCCGTATGTACCAGCGCCCAGGGAGCTGGGGGTTAAGGGCCTCACTCAACGACCCGCAGACGTGCGGAGGCTGGGTTTGAACCGCCAACCTTGTGATTACAGGCACCCAGGCTTAGCCCACTGAGCCACACATAGTGTCACCATACACATGTACAATGAGATTAAAAGCAGCTCCTCCAGTGTAAACATGTATGTAGAACAACAACAAACAATAAACAAATAGTGCAAAAAGTTCTGCGGCGCTACAGTATATATATACGTATGGAAAGAATAAATGACTAAATAGGGTTTTTTTTAATATATACAGTGTGATATGCAGTGTTGACTATTGCACATTATTTAAATATTACACTGTAATGATGACCATGTGCAGTGAGTAGTGGATGTTGGACACAGAGCGATGATATTGTACAGTAGACAGATATTGCACAGTTATTATCAATATCAATACCATTTAGATATTGGATATTGCATCTCCTCCCTGTGTCTGTATCAATTTCTTCATTGAGCCCTGGTATCCAACAGTGTTACAAGGGAATTATTTGGGTTGGTGTCTTTAAATTGTCTTTTATGTGTGTGTAGGTGGCTGCATGTCTGTGCGTGTGCGCTTGTGCATCTGTGTGGCTTGTTATAAACTCGCATCCTGTTCAGGATGTGACCTGTGCTTCCTGGGATTGGCTCCAAGCTGCGACCTCATGCTTGATAAGCGGCCAATGAAAATAGATGGATGATCAGATGATTGAGGCGGCACAAGAGCTCTGAATATGCAGAAGATTGTACACAAACTGTTAAGAAAGAATATGGACAAAACATTTCAGTCATACATGAAGCCTATTTATGGTAGTGAGGAAATGAGGCTTCAGGACCTTCACTGGTTGGAATTTCTACATGCTGTCATCAGCCTTTACATTGGTTACTGTATTAACTGCCTTTACATTGGTTACTGTATTAACTGCCTTTACATTGGTTACTGTATTAACTGCCNTGCCTTTACATTGGTTACTGTATTAACTGCCTTTACATTGGTTACTGTATTAACTGCCTTTACATTGGTTACTGTATTAACTGCCACAGGGCTAAACAGGCGAGAGCACACATTAATCACTGCTGCGTGGTCTTCCCTTCATGTAAACAAGTCAGCAGGGTTCCATGAGACATCCCATCTCATTCCTCTGATATCCTTCATTTTTAGAGAAGACTGTTTCATGTAACTGATTGTGAAAGTAAAAATAGCTTTAAAGAAAGCAAACATTTGACAGGTTTTTGCTTCATTTTAAATTAACTGGACAGAAACCATTTTATGTTCCTTCGTCTACCTGTGATGTCTTTGGGTGTTTTAGTAGATGCGTTATAGCTGACATAGAGATCTTATGCACATTAACACAACTCTGAAAGCCCAAGGACTCAAATGAGCCAAATGCGGAGCAATGAATTCCTTATCACTTTGCTGCACATCCAGGGTGATAAGATGCAGGTATTTATCTTTGGATTACTGCTTGGAAGTCAAAGCAAGATTGTAGACTTGAGAGTAGACAGAACTTTATATAAGAGTATAACAAACATTATATGGTTACATGATTATAACGTTCGTTGTCATATAATTTTTGTTATTAATGTATGTTAAAGCTGTTAAAATGTGTCAGGACATGCTGCTTTTGAATGTTCTATGAATGCATTATTAAGGTGCATTGAACGTTTTATGAATGCATTATGAAGGTGCACTGAATGTTCTATGAATGCGTTATGAAAGTGAATTGAATGTTCTATGAATGCATAATGAATACATGATGATGGTGCGTTTAATGTAAAGACTTAATGAAAAGTCTTATAAGTAACAAAATTGTAAGTTAATTATTAAGGTTCTAGACCAGTGGTGACCAACTGGTGAAATACAATTCAATCCAGACTGTGCGATCACAGCTGGTAAATTTTATCACTGGGTTTTCTGTTGGAATTTGGTCCTCAGGGGAAACATGGGGACTTGCTGGTCTAAGCTGAGGTGAATTAAACCTGTTTAGAAGCAAATGCCTTGCAAAGGAATTTTACTATTGGTATTTCAGTCATATATAAGCGATTTGGCATTGTTTGCAAAATATATTCCAATGTTTTGTCATATGCTGCTTTATATACTGTATTTGTCCACTCATAAATCTTTCATAACTTCTCATCCATTACAGGGCTGCTGTGAGTCTGGAGCATATTTCAGGAAGCACAGGCCACAGGACGCTTTGCTCAAGATGCCAGTTTGTCACAGATACACAAATATTTATATACAGAAACATGTCCCATCCACATGGGTGTTCACACCCTTTTAACCAACAGTGGATGATAGTTTAGAAAAGGACGTATCCCTGAGACTGAGGGGCAGGGCAGTGATGATTTGGCGGGGGTGATGATCAGACCGCCGCGAGTTAAAGTCGAGTAGGAAGCAGCGGCGGTTCCTGTGCTGCTCCAGAAGGGCCGCTTGTCTGAAAGTGCTGAATTTCAATTATATATTAGTTGGGAGTTTAAGAATCCTTTGTAGCTATCTGGATTAAAACTTAAAACTTGCTCTGATCTTGAACTATGTCAAAATAACAACAGTCTTATCTACCAAAAATACATAGCAATATTTCTACCGGACAAGTGGATTACAGATCAAGGTCCCCTGGAGGTCCAGCTTACCTGCAGCCTGCAGCTCTGCTTCCTCACCACCTTGCCATGCTGGATCACATGCACCGGACACCGGTTGACGGTGTTGTCCGCCTTGTGCCGGAGCCAATCTTCATAACCCTGGGAACAGACAGTCACCGGACAGTGGGGCACAGGCTAGCATTTGTCTCATTTCTTGTCTATTTTCTATCTTGTTTTCAGTATATTTTAATAGCGAGACAACAGTCTTCATTCCTGTCTTAATTCATGTATTGCATCATTATATATAGTATTTATGGTATATTAGCTTTGCCCAAAGTGTATATTTTGTTTGAAAATATGAGCATATGTCAAAACATCTGCTAATATTTGAGGAATGCTGTTATGATACATTAAGCCTTTCCCTAGGTTGAAACATTATATCTGGTGGAAGAATGATGGTAATCCTTCAGATTCTCCTTTTTAACTAAATCTTGTTTTGCATGAGCCTAAAATCTCAGCGATATACAGGCATTGTAACCTCATAAGTAAGACTCCGTACCGTGACTCATTCCCTCAATCGTAGCATCAATGTTTACTCCAACTAAACGTCAGAAAATCACATGCCGTTTCAATGCGATCTTTCTTCCATGCTAGACTTCCCTCATTAATGCGAATGTGTCTCCCTGAACCGACTCTCCCCGCATCAGTGAAACCTAAACGCATCCAACTCATGACCTCCTGCCAAGAAACAAAGGACATGTTGGAGGTGCAGGGAGGACCATGGAGGTGCAGGGAGTACTGTCTCACCTGTTTGATGGCGGTGACTGTGATGACGAAGAACAGAGGGAGGCCGCTGGTGATGGGACTGGTGGGGGTGTCGATGATCAGCTGCAGTGGGGATGGGAGCAGAAGGCATCTCAACCACCCATCTCAGCATCCAACCGCCCATATCAGCATCCAACTGCCCATCTCAGCATCCAACCGCCCATCTCAGCATCTCAACCACCCATCTCAGCATCTCAACCACCCATCTCAGCATCCAACCGCCCATCTCAGCATCCAACCGCCAATCTCAGCATCCAACCGCCCACCTACAAAGTCTAAGGTCTCAATACACACTGCCAGTCAAAAGTCTGGATGCACCTGCTTTTAATGCATTTGTCTCTGTGTTATTCACCTTATAGTAAAAGGCCCAGAGACAATATATATCAAATATTGCAATAACCAAGAAAAGTGCTTGACATCTCAAAATTTTCGATTCTCTAAAATTACCCCCTTTTGCTTCTATGACCTGGAATATTTCAGTCCTGAAGGAGTTTTTTTGCAAATTCTGGGCACATGTTGGCTATCTTGCGCTTACTCTTCGATCCAGCTCATCCCAAACCAGCCCTATAGGGTTTAGATCAGGGTCTTGTGGGGGCCAGGTCATCCGTCACAGTACTCCATCTATTCCATCTACTACATAACCTCGATGTGTGCTTAGGGCAATTATCTTGTTGAAAAACAAATGACTTTCAGTAGGTGTGTCCAGACTTTTGACTGGTACTGTACTCTCAAATGTAATGCCTCACCTGAACAAGAAAGATGATGAGGAAGTAGAAATTAGCAATTCTTCTGAACTGCTCAAACAAGTTCTTCGGTATAAAGTTCCAGAAAGTGTACTATGAAAACAAAATTAAGCTCCCATGGGAATCTTGACACCAGAACATTCAGAATCTGCTTTAAAACATCATAGGCAGTGTAAAGATGACTAAGGCAGGGTGAGCCTACATGCTGTGTCACTGTGAGCGAGACCTGGAGCCAGGAACTATCCACTAAAGCACTGGAGCAGTGCAGCCGCACAGGAGGCTGACCTTGGAGGAGACAATGCGGTTGTCGGGGTATCTCTGAGGGATGTACGCCTCTGCTCCTGGTGGAGGTTCTCGGTGACCGATGTACACTGTCCGATTGTCCACCCAGTTCTCCTCTCCCACACACTGCCAAAGAGCACAAGATGAAGCTGGTACAGTGAAAAGGATTTACAGTGTACAGTCAGGTGGTCTCCATTCTGTTCTTGTAGCCAATCAAACGCAGGATTATCCCTTTAAATGATGCACATAGACCAAGACAAACAACACCGTCTTTCAGTCATCTCGCATGGTTTCTGTTCCTTCATGTTTTGTGAGGTCAGTTAGGCTATTTTCTGGTACATTTATAAGTGACTGGATGCTTTTAAGAAAAAAAAAGTAGTTCAAGTGAAATATACATTTATTTTGCTATGTGAAGCAGATTTGAATTTATTTTGAATTTATTAAGCTGAGCAGAGCAAACACAAGGGGAGTATAAAATTAGAGTACCAGCACCTGATGAAGGACTTTAACTTTGAAGTAACTCATCACAATTACAAATGCGGCTTCAAAGGTTTATTAGACTGAATGCCAATTAGCAGCATTTGTCAGATATAAAAGACGTCTGACAATTAGCACTATATGAGTTTTCAAAGCAATATGAGGAGGTTAACAGAGCTCTGAGGTGTTCGTGCTAGAATTACAGATGCAAAAAAAACCAAACTATTAGCACAATAACACCAGTGATTCATATGATAGTGTCTACAGTTAACAGCACAAAAATAAGGCCTCACCAACTGCCATGGAAGTGAAATAGCACCTCTGTGACCCAGTGTCAACTGTATGGTCAAGAGACTCCCAAAACTGGAGTGTTTGTCAGGACTGGCACAATGCAGTGTTTCCCAATCTGCTCCTCAGGGACCCACAGACGGTCCAGGTTTTTGCTCCCTCCCAGCTCCCTGCCAGACAGTCCACCTTTTCGCTCCCTTGGGAGCAAAAAAGTGGACTGTCTGCAAGCCCCCAAGGCCCAGTTTGAGGAACACTGACATACAGCACATCGGAAACCACCTGAATCTACGGCCAGTATAAAATGGTGCATAATACAAAAGAAATTTACAAAGGAGAGGAGGCCATTCGGCCCATCAAGCTCGTTTGGGGAGAACTTAACTAATAGCTCAGAGTTGTTAAAATCTTATCTAGCTCTGATTTAAAGGAACCCAGGGTTTTACCTTCCGCTACACTAGCAGGAAGACTATTCCATACTCTAACTACACGCTGTGTAAAGAAGTGCTTCCTCAAATTTGTTTTAAAATGTTCTCCAGCTAATTTCCACTTATGGCCACGAATGGTGTAAAACGGTGCATAATGGTGTAAAATGGTGCATAATGTTTGCTGATTTAAGGACTACAAAACACGGACCTCTAAATGATGGAAAAAAGTTCAGACCTTTTACTTTTATACTTTTATTTGGGTTTTCGTTTGGAGTATGGGCGTCATTAGGTCCGATCACACGGGGCTATAGCCCTGAGTATTTTAAGCTGAGCCCTGAGTATTTTAGCCCTGAGTATTTTAGCCCCGAGTATTTTTAGCCGAAGGTAAATTTGACTTAGCCCCTGATTTTTTTCAATAGCTAGAAACACCCCTGATTTGGAAAAAACCCACAATGCCTATTGGTGCAGGCAGTCAACTGAAAATGAAATGAAAATGAAAAGTGAAATAATGCTTTATTTGTCGCTTGTACAAATACAGGTCCATTGGAATGCTGCTTTTCACATATCCTATCCTATTTTCCTTTGAGACACACACACCAAGAAGTCCAATGATTGCTCAGCATGTTTGTATAATGGTTGTATGACAAGGAATATGGGGCACTTTACAAAGTCTAACACCTTCTCTGTCCTCCCTTATTGCCAGATCTAAAGATCACCGAAGATCTGGTGTGCAGAGTGCAAAGTAGATTTCTACCTTCTTCAGCCCAGAATGAATGGTCCAATATACAACCACATACAGAATGCCTCTATTCCTAATCCATCCATCCATCCACCATCCATCCATCCATCCATCCATCCATCCATCCATCTGTCTTCTAACCGTAATCCTGGTCACTAGAGGCCAAAAGCCTGTCCCAGTCCATCATAGGGCACAAACAGAAGGAAACTCAATGGGCAATTTAAGAAGAAACCAATGTCAGACAGGGGGGGCATGGAAACTCTACACACACAGAGTAGAGGAGTGAATCGACCCCCCAAACCCGCTAACAGCACTAAGCACTGCAGCACCATGCCACCCTATTCCTTACCAGCTCCTTGACATTAATTAATCTATATATTAGTGTTGGTAGGTTTTCACATGGTGCGGTTAGTTATGAGAAGGTATGCTTTAACAAAACAATCTTATTTGGGATGAAAGAACACTGGCAGATGAAGGGACAAAGAAAGCGAGGAAGAAAAATGGTCCTAATCTGAGTGAAGAGCAAGCAAACAGCTCATGTTCCTTATCATGGCTGGGCAACATTCTCCAATTCCCTCCGATGTCAGCAAGCACACTGTTCTATAATTTACTTACAGTACTCTATGTTGGGGTGATGCTCACCTACAGGAGAGAGACGCGTCCCTATTAGAAGGGCAGGGTAGGACAGTCTGGGGATAAGGAAGATAAGCTATAAGCACAGGCTCAAGGTGGCTTTGACTCACAGGGTATAATCGTCTCCTGTGCGGAGAACTGCGGCAGCTACAGAGAGGCGTGTAAACAGGGGCCTGTTGCCGGTTCTGTACCCTGCAGATGGGGGTGTTGGCATTCATGGTCATTGCAGGCCCATCTGTAATGTATCAGTACTCTATTGCATACTCATACCAGACGGTGTATGACAGTCATTTCAGAGCTGCCAATGGGGCTGGCATGTTAGTCCATGATTAGCAGAGTAACCCATGCACAAAACAGTCTCCTCATTTTAGTTAGATGTTTTTAAACCTCTTTTTTCATCCTCTGCCTTCCTATAACTATTAAGGGTGGTAAGATTCACCAACTCACATGGTGCACCAGCATAAAAGTTCACGATGCAATTGTCCTGATTAAAAAAAAGTGTGCACCAATTTGGGATGAACTCGGGATGCATCGTTTGTAACATCTCTGATTAGAGACAAATATGTGAAGAAGAAATGGCACTTTTTCATTTAGTTTATGATTTTCTGTCTGCTTAAGAACAGGTCAGGTAAGGTTGGGGAGCATGTGCTCATACAGCACATTGCTGCATTTTCTACATGAAACACCTCAGGATCCCAATCAGCAACCCCCCCAGGCCAACACATGGTCCAGTCCCACCCTCCAGAAATGGCCATCTGTCTGCCGCAGCCAGGTGTTAAACCAGGTGTTAAACCAGGTGTTAATCCAGGTGTTAATCCAGGTGTTAAACCAGGTGTTAAACCAGGTGTTAATCCAGGTGTTAATCCCGGTGTTAAACCAGGTGTTAATCCAGGTGTTAATCCAGGTGTTAAGAAGAACAAAAGAAATAAAATCAAACTAACTGAACCATATTCAATTAAATAGCATCGTATTCTTTTGTATCGCATCTCATTGCATTTTGTTGAATCAAATCATGTTGAATTGCACTACATCGCAATAGAGGTGAATCTTATCATCCTGCAATAGTAGTTGCTTCATATGTATTTTTAATGTATTGGATCATGGGCAATGCATCGAGATGTGTATCTCACCAGCCTCAGTGATGGAGATGCACATCCCTAATGATGATATTATTATCCGTACGGAAGGACAACACAACATTTTATGTTCTGAAAGAAATACATCGGCACGTTTAAATGTACAATATTTTAACAGACAGTAGTTAAAATTGGCAGCGTCCACCTCTGGTATTGACTCCTTGCATCTATGGTGAGCAAATGGACAATGATCAATAATCCTTTACTGGGTTCTGCTGACGGAGTTTTCTGGCCTTCTCTCTGTCATGCAAAGTTTAACTAAAGAACAAAGTGTATGAAGAGACAAGGAAGACCTGCTCCTGACTTAGAAATCCAGTGCAGCCTTAAAATCGATAAACACAGAATCAAAGACCTTATAAGCCCTTCTGAGGCTTTTACAAAAAAACAAAACGTGGTGTTTATGTTGTTGGTGATGTGTCATTTGCTGTTGACATTTAATCTGTAGGTATTTTTGTATGGTTTGTTAGTGAGGCTGCAGTTTGTGTTTCTGCAAGGTGCTTCTGGGACAGGCTTAGACAATGAGAACCCATGACACACATAGTGACACACACCCCCACACACAGACACAGACAGGTTTGTAATTATGTCTTTGTGGGGACTCTCCATTCATTTATATGGGGAAAACCCTAATCCCAACATGATGACCTAAACCCCCACCCAGCCTTAACCTCACCCATAAGTAACCGAACAAAATACGAGACTTTTGGCATTTTTACTTTTTCGATTGCATTCACAGATCTTTGTGGGGACCCACAAAAAGGTCCGCACAATGTCAAAAATCAGGTCTTTATTGCATTGTGGGGGATATTTGGTATAAACCTAGTCCACACACGCACACACACACTCCGCTCAGCATGGATTACATGTGAGTAAGCTACGTCCTCAGCCATTCCATAAGCGGGAAAACACAGGTGATCATCACTTTAATGGCTATTTTTAAACCTCAGTATGCTTCAGATTTCCTAAGAGGATCAAACATCTGTT